AGATTGGATTGGACAATAAGATCCGATCAGAAATCATATCAAATTCGGGTCACCCCTATCCAATCTGACATATATGTTATTTATTTATTTATACATAACACATATATATGCTATTTATTTATAAATATATTATTTATGTTACATTTTTTTAATTTGTTATATTATTTATTTTTATAAAAACATGTATGATTTTTTGTTTTTCTTTATTTAAATTGTTGTATTTTATTTTGTCTTTTAATAATTTATTGATTTTTTAAAAAGTTAAATCAGGTTGGATTAGATCGGAATATTCGACTTCCTCATCAGATTTGAATTCAAATCCTTGTTTGTGAGATTCAATCGAATCTTCGGATCGGATTGGATTTAGATATACCATGATTTGAATCCAATCCAATCCGTTTGCATCCCTAAATATAATATAGTCAAGAAATACCATCCCCACCTAATCCTCGATCCCCAGAGTTTTGGGTTTTCCCAAAACCCACCCTGACCTTGATTAGTGGTAAAAAGACCATCCCAACCAAGGTTCAAAATATAGATACAAGTTGATACACTGGTAGGGGCGTATCGGCTTGTATCTTTGCTTGCCTTTTTCTAGTTTTTCTTTGAAATTGGTTTAGAGGGGTCGATTTAAGGCTCATCTACCCCCTAAATTAGGCCAGACCCCGAAACACCCCCTATAAAGGCGTATCGAGAAGCCACTGATACATATCAAAATTTTGAACCTTGACCCCAACCGGGGAAGAGTGAGGCGGGGCCACACGAGGTTGCAATTCAGACTTAAACTAGATATAAATTTTGTGTTTGGTTCAGTTTTGCATTTGTTTGTTTGTAATTATGATATACACTTTCACATGATGCAAAATTTATACTTTTTGTCATATTTTCACTCAATAGCAATATAAATTTTGCATCTAAAAAAGTAATGCAAAATTTGAATCACCTTCCTCCTATCTCATTTTTCTTTCATATAAAGTGGGGATCACATCATTTAGGCTGCTAATGTAACGGTTTTTGGTTACATACCAATTTTTTTGGCTAAGTGCCTCGTCAGCTCGTCTGCTCCCTAGTGGCTTGTGACTCAGGGGCTGAAGTGGAGCTCCCTAGCGTAGCGCAACCCAGCTGCTCCCTACTGGCGATGATTTGCTCATCTTTGTAGGCAGCGGGAGTTGAGGGACCTGCGAGAACTAAATCAGAGAACCCGGGGGTGTTTACCCGGCGAGGTCACTCCGATGGCTAAGTCAACACTTAGTGGCGAGCTGCTTTGCTGTCAAGAGGCTGCACTTGGTTGTCATGAGGTGTCAGGTGTCACAATGTCATTGGAAGGCCAAATCCGTCCTCATCATTTGCCCCTCATTCCCGAGCTGAAAGTAACTCGGCGAAGGGAGTAGATTTCTCCTTTTGGCCCAGAATTCGAGGAGCTCGTAAGCGTTGATTCAATTCCTTAGGCTTTGGGAGCAACTCGCAGTCCACTCCTGAACTTTGTCCATGCCGAAGAGGCGACTGGGTCTTATGCAGTATCGTGGCCCTTAGGCTTTGGGAGCGACTCATAGTCCACTCCTGAACTTTGCCCATGCCAAAGAGGCAACTGGGTCTTGAGTTGTATTGTGGCCCTTAGGCTTTGGGAGCGACTCATAGTCCACTCCTGAACTTTGCCCATGCCGAAGAGGCAATTGGGTCTTGAGCAAAAATGTGGCCCTTACTCTTTGGGAGCAACTCATAGTCCACTCCTGAACTTTGCCCATGCTGAAGAAGCAACTAGGTCTTAAGTGCCCAAGCCAAGGAGGCGACTGGGACTTGGTTGCCCATGCCGAAGAGGCGATTGGGTCTTAAGTGATGAGGAAGTCTTTTATCAGTTCGTCAGTTCGTGCTTGGGCCAGGCCGCCAGGTCGGCGCCCGTGCCAGGTCGTGCCAGGTCGGCACATGTGCCAGGCTGCCAGGCCGCGCCAGGCAGCCAGGTGGGCACCTTAGAGCAATGAAGCAAGAGCTTCAGTTTCTAAAAAGGTGAGGACTTAGCTTTCTGGGAGAAGAGGACTTAGTTTTTTGTAGGATGAAAACTTAGCTTTTTGTAGCGTGTTCCCACAAACGACGCCAATTGATGTAACGGTTTCTGGTCACGTACTAAGTTTTTTGGCTAAGTGCCTCATCAGCTCGTCTGCTCCCCAATGGCCTGTGACTCAGGGGCTGAAGTGGAGCTCCCTAGCATAGCGCAACCCAGTTGCTCCCTGCTGGCGATGACCTGCTCACCTTTGTAGGCGGCGGGAGCTGAGGGACCTACGAGAACTAAATCAGAGAACCCGGTTACCCGGCGAGGTCACTCCGATGGCTAAGTCAGCACTTACTAGCGAGCTGAAAATGATATAAGAGAATGAGAGAGCTAGAGAGCAGGGATTACCTCTCCCCTCACCCCTGGGGGGTGAGGCCTTTATATACTATAGTCCTCGCGGGTTTGGTGGAGCAGTTCCTGGATTCCCGTTGTGACGGGACCTGCTTTCGTGTTAGGTGGGGATAAAGCTACTAACTGGTAAGGCTACCCATCTCTGCCTGAATCGGGGAGTGGGTAAGCTAATATAGTTGTTACAAGTCACAATCCCGTATAACGCAGGGTACGGTGGTTAGTTCCTCAGGGTTGTCAAGTTGGCGCGTGGGTCAGGCCGCCAGGTCACGCTTGGGCCAGGCTACCAGATCGCGCATGTGCCCGGCCGCCAGCTCGCGCCAAGGCCAGGCTGCCAACTCGTGTCAAGGCTAGGTTGCGCCAGGGTCAGGCCACCTGGTCGTGCCTGTGCCGGGCCGCGCCTATGCCAGGCCATGCACGTGCTAGGCCACGCTTGTGCCAGGCTATGCCTAGTGGGACACCATCAACTTTGCAAAGGCAAGTTGTTGCCAAAGTGGTCCCGGGTGTCACCTAGTTGTTCTGAGGTGCTAGGCTACATGAGGGTGAGCTGCATGTGGCGAGTTGCATATGGCGAGCTGCCTGTGGTGAGCTGCCTAGCTATCAAGAGGCTGCACTTAGTTGTCATGAGGTGCCAGGTGTCACAATGTCATTGGAGGGTCAAATCTGCCCTCATCAGCTACATTTGATTGCGGTGTAATTTTATTTGCACTAGTGCAAATGAAAAGAATGCAAATTCTGATTTAATTTTATTTTGGGTTTTAATTTATTCTGCTTCAAGTCTTATTCTATCTCATTTGTACTGTAATCAAACATTATAATGAGGTAAAATTTGAAATAAAAATAAATCAGAATTTACACTCAAATCATTTGCACCACTAATGTGTTGCATCGGTACAAATAAATTTATGCTGCAACTAAACGCAGCCTTAGCATCTTACCTTACTCCCAAACAAATAGCCCTGGCTAATCCCAGTGTTGTGTTACTCAATTGGCCTCTTATAGAAGATTTGGATGCAGCACCAAATACACAAATACCAAAATAAATAAACAAACAAAACAAGGTCAAACAAAAGTCTAGTTGCACAGAAACTGCAACTAGACACAACCCATTTGCATTTAGCCACTTACCAATTTGAACCTTTAAGGTTATATTTGGTTTGATGGAAAACGTAGGGAAAGGAAGGGAAAAATAGGAAAATTTATATACTGTTTGTAAAGGTTTACCTACCTTTCCCTTCTTCTTCCTGCATTTTCCTTCAAACCAAACATAACCTAAGAGACAAATAAAAAAGAAAACAGTTCTCAGGAGTTTCCCAATAAACTGCATTTGTTTTCGTGTGCAATAAAATGTTGTGAAGTTGCATTTTTTGAAATCGAAAGTGGTTTGCATTTGTTTTCTCCATTTTAATCTTTACATATAACCAAACACAGCCTTAAAAGAAGTCGATGCTATTGCTCCAGAAAAAAGTGACACATCAGCGCCATGTAAAAAAAAATGGTGTTCTAGGAAATGCATGTTTGTTTGGAACCATACAGTGCTCCAAGCCACGTCTTGGAAATTGAGAAGACATGGTTTGGAGCAACACCGTATTTGACATTTTCTCGTATTGTAGTTCATTGCTGCCAACAAGGACGTGATGTGGCAATGACGTGGACTTCCTATGATGGATATCAGTGCTAAAAACAAAAATGGAGCACTGGTACCAAATAAAAAGTGTTGTTGTTGCTCCAAAAAACATCATACTTAGCAATAGAAAAAAAAGACATTATTTTCAGAAAATGATGCTTCTAGCCCACACATCACCAAACGGTTTTGGTGATGTATCTATAGCATTGATGCCAAACATATACTTAAGATCAATGTTTTTGAACCGTCGTTGACCCGGATGGTCAGACCATTCGGCCCAAAAACCATCTGGACAACCGGTTTCGTTTCACCCCTAACCCGTTATTGGGTCAAAACCCGTTGACTTTGTCAAAAAACCGCTGACCTAGGCGGTCGAACCATCAACTTGTTTGACCCAGCCAGCGGTTCACAATATAAAATTACAAAGAGGAGAATTCAGATCTAAGATCCAGTCCGAGACACGAACTCATATATGGGATCTAGCACAAAGAGAAGAAGAAGAAGAAGAAGAAGAAGACTTTCTTCTATAAGTGTTTTAGAGAAATCGATCTCAGATCTGAGATCCGAGAACTCAGATATCAGGTCTGAGATCCAAGAACTCAGATCTCAGATCTGCATCTTTTGCTGCAGCCTCACTGTCGCCATCGCCGCTATCGTCGCAGGTGAGCATCCAATCATCCTCTTCTTCCTTATTCTTCCCTCCTTCTCTCCTTTCTTCTTCTTTCTTTTTTTCTTTCTCAGTCGATAACAGTTCTCCTTTCTCCTTCTGCTCTGGCTTTCTCAGCCGACAACATATTTCTTCTTTTTTTATGAGGTTTGCATATTAGGGCAAATCTCATATAAACATTTGCCCTAAATATGCAAATCGTGTGAACCGTTCAACCCGGACGGTTGAACCGCTGATCTGAAAATCAGTAGCTAAAACGGTTCGTTTCCGGGTCGATTTTTAAAACCTTGCTTAAGATAGTTGTCCTCCGTTCGAATTCACATCGGTTCAGTGTCGTTGCAACTTGCAAGCTATTTCTTATTATCTTCGAAGTTCCAACCTTCAAATAGAGAAACACTAGTGAGAAAAGTGAAAAGACGAATCGCGGGTGGAGTGATTGCTGGTGAGGACCGGACATCGACGGACGACGGCGGGAGGGAGTATGGCAACAACACTGTGGAAGCAGCTGCTTCTCAACGCCATCGATTCCAATGCAAACCTAAAACACTCTTCCTTCTTTCAACTCGTATGGTTTCCTTCTTCCCCCAATGTTTTCTCTCTCTCTCTTTTCTTTCCACTTTCTATATGAATTATTGAAGCACCTTCACTTCAATTTTTTAGGCAACTGTTGGATCTAATGGCAGACCTGCTAATCGTACTGTTGTTTTTAGGTCTCTCTCTCTCTCTCTCCAGGGGCTTGGAATTTCTCATATTTTTATCTAATTTCGATTGTTGTTGATGTTTCAGAGGATTCGAAGAAGGCTCCGATAAAATCCAAATCAACACTGATTGCCGAAGTCGCAAGGTCCTCCTTTTTAATCATAACTCCATTGTTTCTATTCGTTTTCTTTTTTCATTCTTTTATAGTGACTTATCAACTATAATACATAATTCTTTGTTTTTCCTCTAAGAGGAGATACAAATATGGGTGTTGAAATTGGTTATCAATTTACAGGAGTTTATTTTGTGGCTTGAAAACTGCAGATTGATGATATTAGGCACTGCCCTTTTTCGGAGGTAAAGATTTCTGAGTATGTGAAATTTGCGGCTGAATAATTTATGTTCTTGAGCAGAAGTTAGCATGCCCAAACCAGGGTTTATTATTCTTACCCGGAAAAAACTTGGCTTTATCATTTGATTGATGTTCAAGTTGTGTTATTTGTAGATATGTTGGTATTTTACCAGCTCTTGGGAGCAGTTTCGATTCAACGGAAGGATCGAAATCATTGATGGATCCAATTTTGATCCTGACAAGGTTCAGGTAATGATAATATTAGAGTTATTAGTACACGTGGCACACAAGTTGTTGAGTTAGTTACACAGGTGGACTCTGGACTCTGTTAACAACTGTTGCTCTGTATTTATAAATATCAATAAAGTGTTTTCTCCGGCGTCTTTTCTCCTTCACTTGGCTCCCGATTTACATGGTATCAGAGCGGCAGGTGCTCACTCGAGTTCCCTTCCTGGTTCTTGATTCGAGTTGTCTTCCGTCAACGGCAAGAATGGCCATGAATGGAAGCGAAAACACTGTGTTCATCGTCACTGATCAGATCTCCTCCTTCGTTGATTAGAATTCACAGTTCTATCTTCATCCTTCTGACAGCCTTGGTACAGTGCTCGTTTCTTGTTTTCTGAATGGAGACAAATATATGACTTGGAGAAGAGATATGACTAATGCTCTCACTGCTAAGAACAAGATTGGCTTCGTGAATGGAATGATTCAGAAGCCAATCCGGCGAAGCAGGCAGAGTTGCTTGCCTAGTTGAAGTGTAATTCCATGGTGGTGTCATGGGTCTTCAATGCTTTAGCCAAAGACCTCCATGAAAACGTAGCCTATGCTGAAAACACCCAAGAAATGTGGAAAGATTTGGAGAAAAGGTTTTTACAAGGAAACGCACCAAGAATTTTTCATCTCAAGTGAGAACTCATGCTACTTAGGCAAGAAAGAAATTCTTCTTGTATCTATTTACTTCTCAAAACTCAAGGCAATTTGGGATGAATTGTTAGGCTACATTCCTGGACCATCATGTACCTATGGACTCTGTACTTGTGGAGTTCAAAAAGATTTTGTTACAAAACGGAAAAGAGATAAAGTGTATTAATTCTTGCTCGGTCTGAATGAGAAATTTAACAACATCAGATCGAGCATTTTAAGTATGGACCCTCTGTCGAGCATTAGTAAGACTTGTGCACTTGTATCACAAGAAGAAAGACATCAATCTTTAATTGCTCAACATGGTCCAATTGCAAAAGCCGTTGCTTTTCATGTGGCAGGTAGGGGTGAGAAAAAAAAACCGAAAAACTGAACCGATCGAAACCGAGCCAAAAAATTAGTTAACTGAATCAGTCGGTTTGGTGTTTTTAAAAAACCGAAGGTACCGGTTCGGTTTCGGTTAACCAATATAGAAAATTGGTGGTTAATCGAATTGACCAGTATCTATATTTTTTATATATACTTATGTATATTATATATATATTTTATATATTATAAATTAATAAATATGCATTATATATAAATATATATTTATAATATATTATAGATTATTTATTATTTAAAATATAATATTTTGTATATATTTATAATTTTTTATTATATATTTATATATTTTTTATAATATATATTGTAAAAATAAAAAACCGAAAAACCGATGAACCAAACCGACGGTTAACCGAAACGGTCAACCGGTTAACCGATTGGTTTCGGTTCGGTTCCGGTTACTAGTTTTCCAAAAACTGGTAGTATCGATTCGGTTCGGTTCCAAGGTTCGCTGTGAGCACTACAAGAAATAGGGCCACTGTAAGGATCACTGCTTTGAATTGTTTGGTTATCCGTCGAATTGGGGAACTCGATCAAAGTCCTCACCCAAGAACGACACTGGCAATCAAGAAAAATCTGCTGTTGGCACAAGCTCAGTCCAAGCAACTTCTTCGATTTCTAGCTTATCCAAAGAGCAGTATCAACAGTTATGAAGCACCATCAACAATCTATCTGATCTATTGAACAATGATAAACACACTTTCTCATCCAACCTTGCAGGTAAGGTTACTGCCTCTTCTTGGCTTTTGGATAGTGGAGCCTTAAATTATATGGTTCCCACTAATTCTGAATTTGCTACTGCATCTATTACATTGGCATCAACACTGAAACCGGTTCAGTTGCCAAATGGAGCATTGTTGTCGGTTCAGTCACAAAGTGACATAACATTGTCTTTGGGTCTGGTATTAAAGGATGTATTGTTCATTCCGGGGTTTTAGTGCAACCTTATATCTGTTGGTAAACTTACCAAAGACTTGAATTGTATTGTGTTGTTCTTTCCTACTTTCTGTGCTTTTCAAGTCCTAACATCCAAGAAGTTGATTGGTGTGGGCTTGGTGTATGATGGACTGTATCACTTCGTTTCCCTTCCACCATCCTTCTCTTTGCATAGTACCCGTACTCATGATCCACATGTGTGGCATTCAAGGTCGGACCATGTTTCTTATGAGAAACTTGCTTTGATTCCTGAATTGCATATTACTATACCTAATAATGATTGTTGTGACATGTATTTTCGAGTAAAACAAACACGTCTTTCCTTTCCCATTAGTCATACCAGATCTGATACACAGCTTACACTCATACATTGTGATATTTGGGGAGGTTATCTCACCCCGTCCCATTCTGGAGCTCATTACTTCTTAACAATTGTAGATGATTGTACTCGAGCTACATGGGTGTATTTGTTGCAATATAAATCAGATACTTGTTCTTTTCTTGTAATGTTTTGTGAAATGGTCAAAACATAGTTCAGTGCTCAAGTTAAGTATATATGTTCAGACAATGGGTCCGAATTTCTTTCTGGACCTGTTCAAGATTACTTAACAGCACATGGGATCTTGCATCAAACATCTTGTGTAGACACCCCTCAACAAAATGGGGTCGTTGAGCGCAAGCACCGACATTTACTTGAGATAGCAAGGGCTTTACGGTTCCAAGCCCACCTACCAATCGAATTCTAAGGAGAATGTGTTTTGATAGTAGCTTACATCATTAATCACTAACTCCAATCCTTGCTGAAAAATCGCCATATGAACTTTTCCACAAGCTTCCTTCATATAGTCATTTTCGTACATTTGGTTGCCTCTGTTATGCAAGCACATCCTGACGCGGGCATGATAAATTTAATGCTCGTGCCACTAGATGTGTGTTTGTTAGATATCCTAATGGTCAAAAGTAATACAAATTATATGATTTGACTACTAGGCGGATATTTGTGTCTAGAGATGTAATTTTCTTTGAACACAAATAACCTTTTGTTAATCACAACATGCCTTTGGATCCATCTACCACCAGTTATACCTTTACCAGTCATTGATGACATGGTGGCTGATGCAATTCCTAATCAAATGCCTAGAACTAAACCAGTTTGTGACAGTTTACAACCCTCTATTAGTTCAGAATTACCTGAACACACTAGTGGAATGGACATTATCATTTCATCAACTCTTGAACCTGTTGTTCCTATCCCATCAACCTCACATAACCATCACCCACTTCGCTCCAAGAGGCCTCCCTCACACATTCCTGATTGCATTTGTCTAACACTTTAGCCCCAAACTGACCCATGCAGCACTCACTACCCAATTTCCAATTTTCTAACTATGGGCTCAATCCCCTTTACACAACCTGAACCTTCTTGTTATGATGAAGCCAACAAACATGACAATTGGAAGCAAGCTATTGTCAGCTGAACTAGTTGCACTTGAGCGCACTCATACCTGAACATTGACTGACTTACCACCCGGAAAGACTCCCATTGGGTGCCATTGGGTCTACAAAGTCAAGTTTAAGCCCGATGGTACTGTTGAGCGTTACAAAGACCTCTTAGTAGCAAAAGGCTACACGCAAACTGAAGGCATTGATTATACAGAGACATGCCCCAGTTGCTAAGCTCGTAACAATACACTGCCTTTTGGCTCTAGTTGTAGCCAGGAATTAGGAACTCCATCAGATGGATGTAGACAATGCTTTCCTCCATGGCACTCTTCATGAAGAAATCTACATGGTTCCTCCACTTGGACTTCTACCTCCTAAGGATCAGTGTGTGTGTTGTTTGAATAGATCCATTTATTGCCTCAAGCAAGCTTCACACAATTGGTTTGAGACTCTAGCTCATGCTCTTCATCAACGGGGTTTTCAACAATCAATTGCTGATAATACCCTTTTTACCTCAGTTCAATCAGGCAGCTTTCTCATTGTACTTGCATATGTTGATGGCTCGGTGATTGCCGAAAATGACCCAACTCATATTTCTGCTCTCAAGGATTACCTCCGACAGTGCTTTCCAACGTCTTGTGTGCTGTCTTCTCTATCTCACTATCACAAGACCAGAAATCACTTATTCATTTCATATCCTAAGTCAGTTTATGAGTGATCCTAGACAACAACATTTAGATGCTGCAATGCATGTACTTTGGTATTTAAAGGCTACACTTGAGCAAGAATACTTCTTCCAACTGATTGTGTTCTCCAATTGCGAACTTATTGTGACTCAAATTGGGTTGGTTGCTCAACCACTCGGAAATCCACCACTGGCTATTTCACAACTCTGGTTCACTCCCCTTTGTCATGGAAGAGTAAGAAGCAAGCAATTGTGGCACGCTCTTCTGCTGAAGCCGAGTATCGTGCGATGGCAACCGCCACTAGTGAACCGTTGTGGCTAAGACAACTCTTCTTTGATCTCGGTTTCTCTCATCCACAACCCATGAACTTATACTATAACAACAAGGCAACACTTCTCATAGCTGCTAATCCTGTGTTTCATGAGCATACCAAACATATTGAAATAGATTGCCACTTCATACGAGAGCACCTTCAGTCTAAAGCTATTACTATTGCTCATCTTCCCACATCAGCTCAACCTGTAGATATTTTCACCAAAGCTGTTGGATGAGATAGGTTTACTTCTTTATTACCCAAGTTGGGCATTTTTAATCCTTATGCTTCAACTTGAAAGGGGGGGGGGGTATTAGAGTTATTAGTACACGTGGCACACAAGTTGTTATTGAGTTAGTTACACAGCTAGACTCTGTTAACAGATGTTGCTCTATATTTATAAATATCAATAAAGTGTTTTTCTCCGGCGTCTTTTCTCCTTCACTTGTCTCCCGATTTACAGATAACTTCACTTCTCAACACACAATGTTCCATAAGATTCGCTAGCTTGGTTCCCCCACTCACAAGGGCTGGAGTGCTGGATGCTTACCGGGCCTTAAACAAGAGATGTTTTTAGCATTTGATATCTGCAACCAGAAGCATCCTCATACGTCTTAGATGCAAAATCTTTATTGGGATTACAAGAAACAATACATCCCAATCTTTATTGGGATTTATTCTCAGATTTTACTGTGGATGATATTTTAAGAAATTGGAGGACTGTTGCATCCTCGTCATCTGCAAAAAAAGAAGGCAGTAAGGAGTTGGGATCCTCCTGAATCTGGTTTCCTCAAGTTAAACTTTGATGGGAGCAGTTTTGGCAACCCGGGCATGGATGGAATTGGTGGGGTTATAAGAGATGACACAGGGGGTGTAGTGGGGCTCTTTTCCGGCCCTATTGGGTGGGGGGACTCCATTACAGCTGAACTAAAAGCAATGGTCTTCAGAATGCAAAAAGCCATGGAAATAGGTGTGAGAATGTTGGTTGTTGAAGGCAACTCCAAAGTTATTATAAGCTGACTAAAACAGGATCAAAAGACTCCATGGATATTTAGAAATGAGATCAAGAAAATTAAGCACATCACAAAGGACATCCAGTTAATAGTTCAGTGGACTCCAAGAGTAGCAAATGGGTTCGTGGATCAGCTAGCAAAGCAAGGGGCTAACAGGGAACAATGTTTCTGGGCTCTATTGTAAGATTGTAAGGCAAATATAGGGTGGAATGTTATTGTACATTAGGGTAGCCGAGGCTACCCAATCTCTGTACTAATTCTCATATCTTTTCATTAATAAAATTACTTTCACTGATAAAAAGAAAAAACAATACATCCACCCAAATTCAATATTAAAGTATTGACTGTCTCCAAAATTCAAATGCAGAGGATCCAGAAAGTCATGAGATGTAAAGTAACTAACATGCTAAGGCACGAGATGCAAAGTAATTTGGGCAGTAGCATCATCATTACCATCCTAATATGTGACAGCTGATGAGCCAGAGCTGTCATACCAAGTGGGTTAAATCCATGCTGATGTGTGGATAAAAAAAATTCGACATCACAAAAAAGTTTAGAATATTATAATACATACTCGAAAGATAGTGTGGATTTTGAAGTGGATTGTTCCCTGAGGTCACAAGCATTTATGGTCATGCTACTCTGGATATCTACAGCTTTTTACTGATCTTATGTTCTTATCAAATAATGCAGTTGCTGTTGGTAGAACAAATATATGGCCAAAATGGAATGGAACATTCAACACAAGATTGTTACAAACTTACAAAAGCATAACATTCAGAATGAATATACTGTAATAACCCAATCCTTAAATTGGTATTATGATTCTTTGGTACCTCATATGGCTACATAAGTGTTATTGGACCCTGGTTAGATATGGTTTAGTTGTACTTGAAACTTTAAATTGAAAATAAAAGTGTCACTTGTTTATGAAATGTTCACTGCACCAAAATAATGGGGTAGGGCATGTTTAACTTAGATCAAAAACTAGGATTGCAGCAACCGATAGGAATTCTAATGCTTCAGTTAGAACAATCAGACCAGGAACCTGAAAATGGTAGAAATCAGCTCGGTAGGGCCAGATTGCCAAATTGAAATAGCCCATTTTCATCTTTATCCATTTCAATTATGAGCGTCCTCATACAATCTTGGTAGCACTGTGACTGGGTATTGAGCATGTTCTCTCTATTTCCTACCAGAATAGTCAAGCTATCAACCAGTCAACTGACTAGGCTTTGAGGACCCTTGCATCCTACTAGTTGTGCATAATATTTGTCTGATATGGTCAATTAGAAACTAAGACCAAGTCATTAAGCCATTGCTTAATTGACTCAACAACCTCTACAATCCTATTTATAACAAACATATACAAGGCACGTTAGTAAAGGACCATCGTTCATGTGACAGAGGGAAAACAAGGATAGGCAGGTGAACCACTTACCTACCTTCATGTTCTCCGTTAGAAGATTCTACAAAACCTCAAACAATATTTATAATTATCAGTGTAAAGCAGGGCTGGGGGGTATGGTGCTGCTCGAGCAGTTTTTTGTAAATCCCTGTGTACAGCTTCTTGTCATACATGGTTTTCTTCTTTAATGAATTTATACTTTACCTGTTTCAAAAAAAATTATAATTATCAGGGGGATAAAACTCTCAAATCTCAGGTGTCTCAGTGTCTTCTCAGTGTGTCTGGTTGTCAGCATCTCTCTGCAGGCCACGCATTTGAATCTGGAGCAGAAGTTGGGCAGCAACAACTAAGATACATGTGACCACACCATCTGAAGGGACTTATCTCTATGACCTTCCTAGCCATCATTGTTCTCACATTGTGCATTTATAAAAGTGACTCCATTGATGCCTTCAGTGTTTCAACTTTCAAGCACCAAGTCCACATCTTCTTGTTCAACTTTCTTGTGCCCCATTTCTTCATCCCTAGCAGCAAAGACCCTGCCACTATCCCTCAAACCTGACTGCGTTCATTTGCCAGTTCCTTCTCCAGCTCTGTATCCTCTCTCAGCACTCAATTGATCCAACCTCTTCAACTGGTCCTGCATTAGATCCTCCACCAAGTTAGAGTGCTTTCTTGAAGGAGTTCAGCCAAGTCAAGGGTAGTATTTCTGGCATGTCATTTGATCTACATTGTGAAAATGAAGGGAAGAATGGATGGGGGGATGGAAGTGAGTCTTCCATTCCTCTTGGTTGCACTTCCATCATGTGAATGTCACTTTTGACTTAAACAATGTGGCACTTAGTGATTGGCCTTATATGTGTTTTATGATGTAGAGGATCCTGAATTCTGGAGAAGAATCTCCCATTACCTATACAAAGGGATCACTTTGGACAAGCTGACCAGTCAATTCATCTGGTTACAACTTGGGCACTAACTAGTCAATGTATGCAATGTGGAGGTGGAGTCTGGGGCATCTTTTCCTCCATTGCAAGTTTAGCTCTGCAGTTTGGAGCTACTTCTTGAAAGCTCTGAATCTGAGTTGGTGCATGCCAGTATCAGTTAAAGCTCTGTTGGAGGAGTGGCAGCCATATCCCATATGGGCTATCCAAGAAAGGGAAACTTTGCTGGGCTTCCAGCCCTCTGGCAGTTCTTTGGACTGTGTGGTCAGAAAGGAACAAATGGATTTTTGAAAACAAAACTACTTCTGAAGCCGAGGTCATTAATTCAGCTATAGATGCTATTAGGAGTTGGAATGTCAATACATTCTGATTTCAAAGACATTACTTCTGATTATACTTTTTTGAGGGTGGCCTTTTTTTGAGGTCCTTTTTTGTACAGCTACTCATTGTACATACGACCTTATATTAATACAATCATACTTTAACTTTTCTCAAAAAAATGTTTGCCTAAGGAGGAGGCCAAAGCAACCAGGTACCCACCTTGAGTATATTGCCTGCTACAAGGAATTGTATCAAGTCCTATGATGATTATGAACCTAATCTTAGTAGCTATACCATGTATTCAACTTGTGTTTTGAAAGGTCTGGTCTGGGTCAGGGTAGACCTGTCATGAACCAATAAATAAATGTGTAGAACCTGTTCCAAACCAGACCCTAGAACTGACCCAATTATTAATCTAAATTATTGGGTTTGACCCAATAAGACCCAATTATAATTGGCAGTTCTACTCCTACATTTAACCTGTAATTAGACAACAAAACTTACTCATTTGTTAAAGTGACACATTTGAACATGATAATACGATAATATTAGAAGTATACCATGAGATAGACAGGTATTAGACTCGGAGTTTCTTTGGAGATCAGTTACTGGCTATTGTTGACATCATACCTGGATCTAGATATATTCCTTACACTTTTCGTGGAAGGCATACCTCAATATGTGAAATCTTCTTAGACCAGACACCTTACATGCCTTTGGATACTGATGATCTTTTTTCATGCTGTCAAATGCATCATGCAGAAGAGAGAGAAAGCTTGGTTTGCTAGTTCTCTGAGATCAAGAGCACAGTACTTGGGGCCTAGCCCTGGTCTTCCATGTATAAATGAAGAATCATCAAAGGAATCTTCCATAGACCCAACTAAAGGCCCAGTTGATGCATTTTGCCTCCTGTTATTGGACCCAGAGCAGGTTTGACAGTTTTTCATGTTTTTTTATGCAGACAGTTTTTAATTTATTCTATTCTTCATAATGTATGTCTTTATGGAGTAATATTCTTTGATCATTTTATTTTCCATATGTGTAACTTCAGGATTCATATCATGTGCAGATTGACTACTTGAATTTGAAGAGTAACAAGAGGCTGATATTCAGATCTGAACAAAGTGATGAGAGAGGGAAGTGTTGGTTGACTGAGGAAATTAATCCATGAACATTGCTTTGATCCAAAAAAAAAAAGTGGGTACGATGAGGTAATTTTTCAGTTCTCTTAATTCCCCCCCTCCCCCCCCCCCCCAAAAAAAAAGAGAAGAAAATATATTACACATGAAGATGCCTTCTGTATCCTATGTCATAAAGAGTATGGAGAGGTGCAATCCATTGGATTCAATGGCATATACAAATTACAAGCTGTAACCTTTCCTTTTCATGTCATACTCATAACTTGTTCAATCTTGGTAGCAACTAGTAACCCTTTAACCATGTTACCACCCTAGTTTCGATGGTTGCCACCTACCATTTATTCATTCCTCAGAGATATCCTATACAGAAATGGCAGACCAAATTTTGTGGATCATTGGCCATTCAAATAGAGATAGAAGATTGATGCTTGTCCAGTTAAGAGTAATCCAGTGTGCAGTGTTTTCCTTTTGATGGGAGAGATCAATTTGCCATTCATGATTCCTGGAACTTAGCTCAACTCAGCTTTAACACGAGCATCTGTTGTCTGTAGCTGAACTTGAAGAGGGTAATGATCTTGGGGCATGGCTTGAAGAAGTTGTCATAAGCTACTTCTCTAAGGTGTATTGGTAGTGGCTGATCATCTAGGTTTTTCTCATAATATTGGTAGTAATAAAATATCACTTAAACATCTCAGTTGTTCATCTATGAAGACTTCAGATCCATGAAGTGTTTGAATTCCATTGATGTTGTAATTTTCAGATCTAATGTTCTTTCCTTTTTCCTTCCATTGGGGCAATTGCTTGGTGCAATGGTAAAAGCTTAGGCTGACAAGCCCGAGAACACAGATTAGAGTCTGAGCGGTCACCTTGTGCAAGGTTAGTTATGTATCCAATCTCCCCCTACCTGATCTCCTAGGACCTGGGATAGTCGGTGTTTATCGACAAATTGGAGATCGGATAATAACCATACTTTTTGAACCACAAATTGGAATCCTTTTCCTTGGTATGAGGTCAGGAGACCGAGTATATTATGTGCATCAGAAATTGGTATATTTCTTGTGTTGTTCCTTTAATTAGCATAAGATATTGTAAACTGAAGTACAAATAAATATATTACAAATAGGGTATCCTGTACTTTGGGATAGTGACAAATAGGTACCCTGAACTTTCAATTGCAACACTTGAGTATCTTGAAATTTTAAAAATAGACAGTCAGGTAACGGAACGTCTCTCCATGATGATGTTCTCATATAGATGGTAAATAACATATTCAAATTTCTCGAATTTTTCAATGATGATATTCTCTGGTCATGATTTTACTCTGTATAATGATCTAAAAAATACACAAAGAATATATTTGACATTATGTAATATTTAACTGATGGAATACTAACGAATGGACCCCAAGTGTCTATTTTCAAGAGTTCAGGATACCCAAGTGTTACAATTGAATGTTCAGTTATCTATCTGTCACTACCCCAAATTACAGAGTACCCATCTGTAATTTACCCATAAAAAATGGTGGATCCTTTTTAAATACACTAATTGTTAATGATAATAGCATTTCATCACGTTTTGTTACAAATTCATGAGTTGATTATGGTAACTCGGTTCTTTGACCTTTGTTCACCTGTTCTTGATTAAGGAATGTTAACGAGTCAAATATGTACAATGAACAACTTTTCAACTTCCCGAAAAGGTATGGCACCCACCTAACAGATTGGTAACCAATCAGCAATCAATCGGTATAGTTCATTTAAAATTTTAAATTCATTTGAGGTTTCGATTGGTTAAAGTGTAAGTGTTTTACTTTTAGTCAGTTGCGGTACCTTTTCGACACCATAAAAGGTTGCCTTGATCCTCTATCTGATGACACTGCATTTGTAAGATATAAATAACGTAATAAAATTAAAAGGAATATGTCTGGTATGCCATTACATTATACCACACCCATTTGGTTTTATTCACAAAATTTCCTTTCCTTTTTCTTTACTTTTTTTTTTTTCTTTTCCTCTTTTTCCAAGTAACCAAGGGACGCATATTAAACACTTGCGAAAAAGAATATTGGTTCTGGTTTCTGAAATCACAACTGTGGCTTGTCATCCCACCACCATGCATCCTTCCGGCATTCAGCACTTCTAGCATTTAGGCAAGTCTGTTGGAGGAGGCGGAAGGGACTCTGTCTCGCCATTCCCATTCTTCACTATAAAAGCCATGGATAAGCCCCAAGAAGCATGTATCTCTAGGTGACAATGCAGGAACCAAACCCCTGCAGCATGCAACGACTCAAGTCAAACGAACAAATTAAGTCTTTCAATTGCAAATCAAAGTTCTCTGGTGGTTAAAAAGAAAAAGAAAAAACATAATTAAGATGATCACCATACCTGGATTGTCTGCAACAAATCGAATTGCAGCCCATCCAGCCACAGGTACACCAATGGTGTTCATGTAAGGTGGGTCAACCAAGTTAAGCTTTGCAGTGCGAGGGTTGTAGTTGCCACTTCCATAGCCCACTACGTAAAAGCTATAGCCATGAAGATGAATTGGGTGGTTCTCAGTGCTGACAGTCCCAGTATCCTGTAAGATAAGTTGCACCCTGGACCCATATTTAAGCACCCTAGTCCTAGTCCCACTTGATGACTGAGTGTCAATAGGGATATTGTTTGGGGCCCCATTCACAAAGTCATACATCTTCAGGGGCACACCAGGGAAATCCTCAGTGAAGTGGCCGTTCATCTTGTTGTAATAAGCCTGCAGAAGTGAAACCTTAGGCATGATAAAACTGATATTGTTGATGGAAGCTGCCAAGACCCCACCGTTGGCTGCTTGACAGTTTTGCTTGGGGTTTGAGGAATGACACTTCTGGACGTTTAGCCCGATGGTGAAGAAAAGGTTTGTGTCAATCTGTAGAGGAACGTTGACGGGTTTCAGGCTCCTGAGACCATCCATGACCGTCTTAACAGCAAGGTTATCGTTGTAACAAGGAAGCTGAGCGGTTAAGGCGAAGCTGGAGAGTGAAGCACCAGTGTATTGGAAGAAGGCTACCGCCGGCACTTTCTGAAACTGAACTTTCCTGGCCGACATGTAGGCACCCATGGCCATGGAGTATTTGCCGATGGGCTGATCGGCTTTAACAAGCACGTTGATCGTCTGGCCGGGTGCGATCATCAGGCGGTCGACGGTGAAGGGCTTCGTGTACTCGGCATCAGCTTCCACGATGGTTAACTTGTGGTTAGCAATGGCGAAGAAGTGCTCCACGTTTAGGGCTGCATTAATAATCCTCAGCAAGTACCTCTTCCCTGGGATTACGTCCATCTTATACACATCTGAAATTGAAAAGGATAAGGTAATCACCAATTAATATTACGATAACATGGAAAAATAATATAATTTCCACTCCACCCTAATTAAACGCCATGGTCTTATTCTTTGAAATGACAAATGGCCCGATACCAGATTTAAAACAAAAACGCGGAAAGAATTTAAAGCGAAAACAATAATAATAATAATCAAGTGGGTTGTCCATCTCGCTCTTAATAGTCATAATGGAGTGTTAAAAAAAGAAGAAAATAAACGGTAGAAATGATGGGTGTCCCCTTAGGAAGTTCGTAAATTAATTCTCTTTACCATTTGCAGAGCATTTGTAGTTGGGACCAGGGTATCCATTGATGAGATAAGCATCTGTCGGTGGAGGCACTCCACCGCTTGCTAGAACATCCCGCTCGAGTTGTAAGACATCCTTGAGCCAATATTCGCCTGACATCATCAGAAAATGTTTAGTTAGTTCAGTTAATGTTTGATCAAAGTGATTATTGGCAGCAGGTAATCTAATTGATGGACTTGACGTACCCAAGATGATAATTTGTTCTCCGTCAGGATGTTTAAAAGGATAAGGGACTCCTCTCTTGGGATAGACGACAATGGCACCATAGACTGTCCCCCGGAGCCAAGAGACGTGAGCATGCCAAAGGAATGTACCCTTCTGTTGCACCAGAGTGAACTGATAGGTGAAAGACTGCCCACCTTGGATGGGGCACTGAGTAATGTAAGAGGGCCCATCAAACCAGCACGAGAGCTTCTGCCGGACACCATGCCTGAAAATGCTCCACATTGATAACCATTAATGAGGTTCTGAATAAGGGTCTACACTGGTGCAATAATGTAATTAAGCTTACTCGATCTGCTTACCAATGGATGGTAGTGTTGAAGGGTGTCTCGTTGGTAACTTTGACAATCACTTTATCACCTTCTTGGGCGTATACTACTGGTCCTGGAAACATCCCATTTATTGTAACGATGTCTTTGCTCGTACACAATTTGGTGATTCTCTTGGTTTGGACCTAACATTGATCACCAAAACCGGCATTAATTAACAGTATTCGATACATTTAGAGTGTGTGTGTGTGAGAGAGAGAGAGAGAGAGAAAGAGAGAGACCTTGAAATCATAGAACTTTGTAGATCCTCCCAGTTCCACTGCAGGCCACTGTTTTGCTGTGACATGAACGATGCAGGCATAGTATACGAACCAAAGGAGAAATGGAGAGAGGAAATTCGCCATCTCGATCTCTTTGAAAGGTTGGGGGAGTTGGATGAGATCGAGTTCGAGGTTAGAGACTCAGAATGGGTGGGAAAGGACCATTTTAATAAGAGGAGAGAAGTGTTGTTTTCGAGTTTTAGGATGAGCCAGAACCCCCC